AAAAAAAAAAAAAAAAAAAAAAAAAAAAAAAAAAAAAAAAAAAAATGTTACCCAACCTTTTACTCTGTCCTCCCCAGCATAATTCCCTCCTTTTCCTATCACCTCACCTCCCTAAGATCACCAGAATCCTTGCCTAATGAGCTGATTTGTCTCCAAAGAGTCAGGAGATAAAAGCAAAGATGAAAATTAAATATTTATCGGTCGCCTGTTTCCCTGAGCAAAAAGCTTCCTCCATACTCTGGCTCCCTCAGCCCCATCACCCAGATTTTTTTTCTGCTGAGAAAGCAAAGGAGTCATCTGGCACTAAAGTGGCCATGTGTAGGCAACACCAGGAGTCTGGTGGGCAATTCAAGCTCTGGCCCAGTTAGCCCAATCATGTGTGTAGTGCTCAGGTCTCAGCCTTTGATCAGGAGTTTGAGCAGGAGGTGTGTAAGGAGAAGAGGAAGTTTTGAAGGCAGGAAAGAAGCAAAGGCCCTGGGGATAAGGGCAGGAGAAGAGGTTTCTATAGTTTGGAGCCCTTTTAGGGGATCCCTCCCAAAAGGCACATGAACACGTTTTGACTAGAAGGGGCCCAATCCTCTTGTACCTACCCCACCTCCCAGGTGTTTCATATCCACCTACTTGTCTTATCTTTCCAAAATGCATCCAAATCCCAATGCCATTTATTTCTGGCTTGTCCAAGTAGTTCAGAGCCCCTGGTGTCTTACTGATCCTATAGAGCTCGTCCTCCCACCTCCCTTCTATTACCCCACATTAACCCTATCCCTAGTGCCCCTTACTTTAGTGACATCCCTCCTCCTATCAATACCTCTTCAGGGTCGGCTGCCAACTCCAAGCTTCCTTCCCCATCCCCCCCGCGCCCCAGGATCTCCAAGAGCTTAACTCTGCTCCTGTCCTCATCTTCCCTAAGGTTTCTTTCCCCCACCCCACCCCGCCAATCCCAAGCCCAGAGTTCGCAGGCCCTTAAAGGTGGGGCGGGGGGACGACGGAGAGACAGTCAGCGGGAAGATGATCCTCCTTGCTTTCCGACAGTCCCTTCCCCTCTCCCCCAGCAGAGATGTTTTTCCTATCTCAGAATGGGAGGTGGAGGGGGAAGGAGTGATGATGTCCCCAACTTCCCCACCTCCACTGCCGTGGGCACTCACCGCCTCCGAGTCCTCAAACCCGGGCACGTAGGAGTCGTCATACATGGGGGAGTCCGGACTGGGGAGCGATCAGGGCCGCGGGGGTGAGGGTGGGTGGGGGGAGGGAGGGGATAACCCGGGGCAGGGAGCGAGGGCAGCGCCCGGGCCTGTGAGATGTCACCGGAGCCCGGGGAGACGGACAGGCGACGAGGGAGCGAGAGGAAAAGATCAGCTGCTAGGAGCTCAAATCTCAGCTCTCTCTCTCCCCGACCACCCCCTTCCCCTCCCTCTTCCCAGCCCTCTCCACACACCAGGCTGGTCCCACCCAGAGCGCTGCTGAGGAATCCAGCTCCGGCCCCTACAACAATAGCGCCCGCCCACCAGCGTCCCCCCTCCCCCAGCTCCTGGTAAGGAGGTTGGGCGGGGTTGGGGGGAGGGAGACTGGGGTGAAGAGAGGAAGGTGGGGGGGGCGAAGAGGTAGGGTGGATCCCTAAGCACCTATCCCGCTAAAGGGAAGGTGGGGGAGTGGGAGGGTGAAGGAAGGGGAGGAGGGCTTGGGAGAGAGTGGGGCGGGGCGAGGAAAGATGCGGAGACAGACACACAGAAACCCAGGAAATACTCCTCAGGGAAACAAAGGGCTGAGGGGGAGGGGAGGAGAGACATAGAGAGAAAAGGAGGCAGCTAAGAAAAGGAGGAGAGAACTATAAAGAGAGCAAAGCAGAAAGGGAGGCAGAGGAAAACGAAAGAGCTGGAAAGTAGAGAGGCCTAGAGAGTACAAGAGGAAGGAGTGTATTGGGGTGGGGGGAGTGGATGAAGAAAAAGGGTAAAAGACAGAAGGAGTAAAAGACATAAAGAAAAGGCCTGTGAGGGGGCTTTAAATCTGTTTTGAGGATTCCAGGTCAAAGCCTACAAGCAGTTTTGCCCTTTCCCCACCCCTTTCAAAGATCAGCAGGTGTCTGAAGGATGAGGAGTTGATGCCAAGGACCACACTTCCAAATCCAACTCAAAGACTATTAGAATGAGTTTGGCACTGCCCCTCTGAGGGCATACAGTAAATGTTACAGAGTCATTTTTCTTAGTGAGAATCAATTGCCTCCTCTCTGCCTTACCCCACCCAAAAGTAGGCTGGGAAGTACGTGGGGAAAGGGTTATTCCTTTGGTTATTCCCAAAGCATCCTCAGTACCTCGGACAGAGCTGAGGGCTTGACTGGGGAGGCTGCCCCTGTGAAGGTTCCTGAAACCATCGTTGAAGTCACTTTTCCTTCAAGGCCCAACTCAGGTACCTTCTTCTCCAAGATTGTACTTCCTACATCTGCCCCAACTGAAAGTGATCTCCTTTTTGTTAAATTTCTCGTAACACTCTGCCTGGATCTCTTCTTTGCACTTTTCATACTTTCCCTTGTATCACAATTATCCCTCTATGAGTGCATATGTATGTATGTGTGCGTATGTATGTAGCTAGCTAGCTACCTATTCCCCTTATTTTGAGTTTTAAAAACCATTAAGCTTCTTGAGAGCATAGTTGCATCTATCTTTACATACCTATTACCTAGAATCATAACTTGTACCAAGCAGATGTTTAATAAACAGTGTTGAATTGGATTATTAAACTCTGAAGAAGAAAGCAGGAGCATAGCTTGGGGTTGGGACTAGCATGTAAACTAGCATGCCCTGTGGGTATCAGGAGTAAGCCTCCTTATTTCCACCCAGTCACTGGTGCTGATGTCAAATTCCCTTCTTCCTACAGAGATTGAGGTGGGTGGCACATCTCTGAAAACATTCTTCAATGCAAAGCATTTAGGAGCTCCTCCAGATCCTCTGTCATTTTGGCTTTCTCCTTTCCCCATTCTCTGGACAGTATAAGAAAGAAAAATCATTTGTGTTTGTCTAGACACAAATTCAAAACTGTCATCTTGAGGGATTCTACCCTCAGGGAGCAAATTGATCCAGAAAGGCAGAAGAAATAAGAGAGAAACCCATGCATTCTGACCTCCAGCTCCTTGACTGAGAGTGTAATTGTTCATTTTCACATTTTCCATTTCTCCCAAGGAGAGTGTACCAAGGAGACTGTCAATCCAATTCGGTCTAAAAAAGCATTTATAAAAAGTCTACTGCTATGTCCCTTCCTCTTTCAATAGTGGGAATGGGAATAGAAGTCAGAGGGTGGGGTGGGAGGTACCAATAGATGTCTCAGTATTACAGTTTTTTGATAGAAGGGACAGGATCTTAAAACTAATAGGGGCACCTAGTCTGAGACCAGGAGGTCCCTAAGAGGCTGAGAAGAGACATCATGGCGTGATAAAATGAGTAATAAAATAGGAATCAGGAGACTTGGCTTCTAGTTTTGCCTTTGTCTCTAACTAGTAAGCGTGAACTTGGACAAGTCACTTAGTCTCCTCTCTGGGGCTCACCTTCCTCATCTGTAAAATGTGGGGATTGGATTAGCTAGACTAGATTCTAAGGCCCATCCAATTCTAACATTCTGAGTTTGAGAGTTTGTGATGTAGGATGTCTAGGTTTTAACATCAACTCTGCTACTGACTTTTTTTTTTTTGAGGCAATTGGGGTTAAGTGACTTGCCCAAGGTCACACTGCTAGTAAATGTCCGAGGCCATATTTGAATTCAGGTCCTTCTGACTCCAGGGCCAGTGACCTATCCACTATACCACCTAGCTGATCCCCCTTCTCCTGTTATTGACTCCTCTTTCCAAACTTCAGTTTCCCTGCTCTGTAAAATGTTCTTTAGCCTTCCTCTAATATTCTTTCAGCAGAATATCGAAGAAGAATTGAGGATGAAAGTAGCAGGGCACCCTAACAGAAACTCAGGAGATAGCATATGCCAGGCAAGTCAAACCACCATCACCACCACCACCTTGACCACCATGTCCCTTCAGACCATGACAGAATCAGTGCAGGACCTTGAACACAAGAGCCTGGGGAATAGTAGTGCTGTGCTGTCGCCAAAGGGGCAGCTAGGTGGCTAAGTGGATAGACTACTGGGCCTGGAGTCATGAAGACCTCTTCCTGAGTTCAAATCTGGCCTCAGACACTAGCTGTGTGACTCTGGGCAAGTCACTTAACCCTGTTTGCCTCAGTTCCTCATCTGTAAAATGAGCTGGACCACTCCAGTATCTCTGCCAAGAAAACCCCAAATGGAATCATGGAGAGTGGGATACAAGACTGAAAAATGACTTAACCACAACACCTCTTGCTTACAGCCCAGCCCTCATAGCCACTAATATAGTGAGAAATCATTGTGGGGAGGTGGTCCAGCTTCCTCATCACCACCAGCAACAACTGCTGACCAACTGCTACTGACAGGCAGAGGAAATAGGAACCCTGAGAGTGGCAGTACTCTCAGAGCACCAGTACTGCTTCCAGCCAAATCCTCAAAGCCATCATCTGGGAAGGCAACTCCTATGGGGAAGGGGCTGGCCATCCCCAGCAACTGTCAAGTAACTGCCACACATGTTTTTTGTTGTTTTTTTTTTTGTTCCCCACACACAGGCAGTGAAAGTAGCAGGGTACTCCCAGGGAAATAGAGGGAGTAGTATGTGCCAGACAAGTCAGACCTCCACCATCACCTTGACCAGCATCTACCCTCAGACCCTGAAGGAGACAGCCCAGGACCCTAAACCCAAGAGCCCTGAGAACAGCACTGCTTCCAGCCCAGTGCCCACAGCCATCCTGGGAAGCAACCCCTATGGAGATGCAGCCTGGCAACTGCTCCTGTAGGTGTTACAGCCACAGCTACTCAAGGCTCAAAAAGGAAAGTTCCTGCCTCCTTGGCACAGTCAAAAACTCAACATCAGAAACTGATAGGATTAGATCAGTGGAAACGAAATGAAAGAAGCATTAACATCTGCTTTGCCCTAGACCCTAAGGGCCCTGGGGCTTTTCCATCTGACTTGCTGCTGAAACCTTCCATTGGGTTGTCTCCACCATTAGAATGTGAGCTCCTTGAGAGCAGAGAGTATCTGACTTTTCTATTTGTATCTCCATGTTTTATTCATTTATACATTCATTCAAAGAGAAATTTCACCAGGTTCTCTGAGGTGAAGAATGGGATTATTAGAACAAGATCTGCCAGTCCCTCCCTTGAGCCCCTTCCCTGGTCTTTTATTGTTCCTCTTTTCTCCAGGGAGTAAATAGCACATTCAGAGGTAACAAAACATCAGGGTTTATAGTCAAGGTCTGTGAGTGTGGAGAGATGGCAAGGACCATAGCAACAGCCTGAATATTGTCAAGGGCAGTTGTTTTACCAGACTTCTAGTGTCATTAACAGCAGCCTAGTCCCCACTTGTTCTTAAAAGGTACCCCTCCCCAAACCGAACACTGGTGGCAGAAGTTTCCCTCAACACATAGATTATCATTCCTTAGTAGGAAATAAGTCCACGTTCTTCATACCTACACCTATCCTCACTGTGGTTTACCTTACTCACAGCTGTGCCTCTCTGTGAACTCTCTCAAGTTCACTCTGCCCCTCCAGGAATATTAAAGATATTGAATGCTGCAGTTTTCTAGAATCATAGGATTTAGAGTTGAAAGGGACCTTAGAAATCATCCAGTCCAACCCTTTCATTTTACAAGGAAAGAAATTGAAACTCAGGAGGTAAAGTGACTTTTCCAAATCACAAAAAATGACAAGCACCAGACCTTGGATTTAAACCAAAGCTATCTCACTCCAAAACTAGTGCTCCTTCTAAGACATTAAGCTTCTTGGAAGTACATTTTTATGATTTCAAGTTGTGTCTGTTACATGGAAGTCTCAAAATCTGGGTACATTAACACATCAGGTGTGTGAGTTGGGGGGAGACATTTTTCAAATAGGAAAGAGGATGTTCAATTTGCAAAACTTGCCTAAGGAACCTAAATGACTTGTCCAAGTTTGGCCCTGATTTGCCAACATCTTTACCAAGAGTTACCCCCTCTCATTCTCTTTAATTTCCCACCACAACCCCATGTCTGCCTCATACCAAACTAAAATCTCCCTATTCTGCAGCAGGCTGTGCCTCTAGGAACTACTTTGCCAGCAACATCTATTATTCTCGAAGGAACAGCACAAACTGGGATTCAGAGGAGAAAGTTGAAGGCATAAGAGAACCAGGG